AATAATAATAATAATAATAATAATAATAATATTAATTATAATAATAATAATAATATTAAAAAACCTCGTCGGAGTACGCGAGAAAGACAAACTCGAGTCGAGTTCAGTCGAGAACGTCGGGTCACAATAATTGCAGTTACAACGTCTTAATACGATTGTTGACGACGCGACAAACTCGATGTTTTCACCGCTGATAGCACAGCAAAAAACGTCGGATCGCGTACACATCATATTATACTTCTCGTGGTCAGTTCTAATGCGACGAATATAGTTCACAGAAAAAAAAAGAAAATTGTAATACGCCAAAGAATAAGGCAAAGCAAAATCGATTAACAAAATATTATTTATTTGTTTGTTAATGTTTGATTGCCATTGCAAATTATAACGCGAAATCGTTAAGAAAGTAACTCATATTAAACATAATCGCTATAATCCTGTAATAACGACGATATAATTACGGTTATTGTTTAGTCGCTGAGACAACAATAATTGTAACAATCACAAAAAAAAAAAAAAACGTTGTTTAAAGCTCAAAAATATTTTATAATATGTTTATACATACAACTCTAAAATTTTATAGATTATAAATTTGAAACGCAAAAAATATATACTAACTTAACTGTGATGGAAAAAGTTAATTTCCACCTGAGTCTAATAAAATCATTGTACGATTTTTAATTTTTTTTGTGTAAACATTTATCCCATTTAACTCACATTATAGTTTTATTTATATTTTAATCGAATTATTAATTCGATGAATACTTAGTTTATTATTATTATTTAAGTGAACTGTGTTGTAGGTTATATGTATTTTTTAAATTATCTAGAAAAACCTGCTTAGCATTATTAAATCTGTTACTTAAGTTAGTTTAGTTGTAAAATTAATTAAAAAGTTGACAAACAATTATTTGCAAAGTTACAAAAAAAAAAAGGGTTTCGGGACCGTCGATGGCGTTCATGTATAACCTTTACTCGGTAATTTTAATACCTAGTTATAAAATATTGGCTAAAAGCATTAATTCATATAAAAAAATATCGCCTGGATACATTTCAATATTTTTAAACCATTCAATTAAACGCATTATGCTAAGTATTGACAAAACGTGATGTGATTTTTACGAACTGGACCAAATCCGCACTACGGGAGGTTAAAACTGTATTTTTTTGGATTCATCATCATTTCTCTAAAATGTATGTATGAAGACAAAGGATCACGTAACGTCCGTCAAACTATAGTTCCTGTATTTAATTTTATTTTATACCTGAGGCACGTACGTCCATTATTTAGGTGCGCTATTACGATATACTTCGGGGAGCCCTTCTGATTTTCTATATTATATATAATAATATATAATAATATATAAACCTATATAATATAGGTATACATAGGTGCTTATAGATGCAATAAATTACATTTCGAGGTCTAAATTGCGTTTTTGTCGTTCTCGTAAAACTCGTTGCTTATAAAGTATATAAATGTGAAGTGAACGCGATCAATGGCACATCATCGTACTGTTATGTATCTCTATTTGGTTAATCGATAAAAAATAAATAAATAAGAAAACAAAAAATAAATAAATAAAGTACCAAGATACACTGACTGGGTCGGCTGATCTGTTTCGACCCTATTGCGTTTAATGTATTATATGTGCACATACGAGTTCTAATGACCTTTAATGCTATTACCCAATCGGCCTTTAAAGATACGGAGCGGTGTGGCGCATGAGAGAAAACTGGGTTTGTATTATTCAACTTTATGGATATTTTAAACGACTTTATGTTACCCTTGACTTCACGTTACCAGACCTATCACTGCGGTGTGCGTTTATTAATAGTTTTCCTCTGGAAACGGACGAAATATGACGATGGTGAAGCGATAGGAATAATTATTTCTAATGGAATACTATTATAATAATAATAAGCCTCGTACATACCGAACAAACTGGTGAAAATATTTGTATTTTAAACTGGCATACATATACGGTTAATGGATTCTGTAGTGTTGTTTAGATTGAAAACCTATATGGGTAGGTATTTATTACATTTAAGCATTTTTTTTTGCATCCGTTTAAGGTATATTTGCAGTTTCTGCAATAAAATTTATTTATCCACATTGATATTCATTTGAAATAGTATAATAATATTGTTTACCGTTTATATCTCATATAATCTACAATAATTGTATGTCTAACTTGCATTGGACGAAATTACGTCGAAATGTTTTTTGTATTTCCAATAAATTGTCTTACTTACTTAAATAGTTTGATTTGTTCATTAATATTATTAATAAAGAATAGTGTTACAATAAGACAAATTAAAATCGTTAAAACGTATAAACGACCGTTTATGCGAAAATGATTACAAATCACAGGGTTCATTGTGTACTGAAATTAATTAATTCGCTTTTGAACGAACAATTTTGAGAAAAAAAAACCTTACAAAACGATTACCTATTGTCTTGTTTTTCGTTGTATCAAAGTATGGTGTCGAGGGGCGGGAATCTCAAAATTCCATTATAATACATTTCACGACCGAAAGCTTTGTTCTGTAATACCGCACCAACCTGCGGGAATTCGCAAAAATGGGTAAAATGATTCATCTATTATTTAGTCAAGTTTGGGCTTTAAATGTGTTTTATAAAGGTTGGTATAATGGTGCAGTACTTAAATTAAGATACAAATTATAGCGAGCGAAATAAAGGTATACGAACTACGGTTGTTAAATCAGTGATTTCTCATAAATTTAAAACCAAACGACAAGAAACACAAAGATCAAAGCATTTAAATTTATACATAAATATAATAATATTATGTACCTATATAATATAGTTATAAGTTAATAATTAATATCTTCAGGTGGAAATTGTTTTTAAATTTTGTTTTAAATTTTATCAAGAGTTAATAATAAGTACTGTAGACATCGTGAATATTACAATTTAGTGGTGTATGTTTAAAATTAGGGTTATTAGAACTTATATGATCGAAAACCAACGAAATATGCCTTTTTACATAATACATTTTTATAGTGTGTATACATATCATGTACATCTCTATGGTTTTATGTATTACTATCTTATGGTACATTTAAATTATTTTTATCGTACGCAGTTATTTATACATTTCATTGCAATAAGTTATGGATAATAAAAAATAAAGTCATAATTGAATTATCCTTTTAAGCGTACTTTTAAGTAAAATACCCCTGACAAAACTAAAAAAACCCACAAGGGGGTGGCATCGTTCATGTTGGAAATCACTGCCCTAAATAAAATACTGTTATGCTGCAAAAACGTCAAAATATGCTCGAAATTTACTCTAAAAAACATTGTGTTATGTACCTATTCGTTAAAAAAATTAAATTATGCATTCGTGAAAAATATGCAGACTATAGACATTTAATTATATTAAATACAACCGAAATAGTTGATTGACGATAAAAAATAAAATAAAATCTTACATTTTCGTTCGTAAAAAATAAAACTTGGAGCGAATAATAAATAGTAATAATAATAATAATAATAATAATAATAAAAATAATAAAAAATAACATTAATTCTATTAATTGATATATTAGGAAATTTCACAAAAAAATTGAATTATATTATCTAAATGTTTTAAAAATAAAAAATATGCAGTTATCTTTAAAATCTTCAAAATATGTAAAAATAGTAATTTATTCAATCTCCAGTAAGTGAAACGGAATTTTATACTACTTGTTTATACTTCCTTATATTTTGAACTCGCCAAAAAAATATATGAAATGCTACAACATCCTACCCTATTTATTATATTTATTCACCCAGGAAACGAGGATGTCAAATGAATCAGAATCTAAATTACAGTTTTCCCGATTTTCTCTTTTTTTTTTCATTATATTTTTGAACAGATTACATTAAGTGCCGTGCTTTTTAGGCTATTCAAATTCAAATTTAATTTATATTTTATGCTTTAGACATTTTGTGCTCTATTTTTCATTGAAAGTCTTGCGTCTCGTGTGTTATCGAAAATTTAACTAATATTTAAACGTTAATAATTAGTTTAGTTTCTACAATAGATAAATTTAAATAAGTACTTACCATTTATTTTAATTGTTTTTCAAAAAAAAAAAAAAAAAATGTCAGCTTTTGATTAATGTATTTGACTAATAATTGGATTATGATAAAGTATAATACTATAATAATGTTGATTAACATAAAAGTTTTTTTTTTGTACGTAATAATGAAAACTATATTATAATAGTGTTATGAAAAAATGTTTAGGTACTGTTACATATTAATTTCCATTCGCAATCGCTTACATACACTCGTGATCTGAGCATTTAAAATTTTAAATCGTTCGTTTCAGTGTGTATTAAATAATTTTAAAAATATTTTGAGATTGAGTCATAGATTTTCACTATTATACTGTTATCAATAGATATTAGATATTGTTGTTACATCGATGACAATTGTAGATAATATTACGCTATATTTTCAGTTACGTGCATGGTGCGCTACTTTTACATTGCAATCGTAACATATAATATTTTACTTGTATAATAATAGCTTTATAACCGTAACAATTTACATCTAGACTTAATTATTTTTATTGCAAAACCAACTTTATATTTGATTTAAAATTTTTATAAAAACGCAGTTCAAAACTTCTGTAGCACTCTTTTTGGTTGGAAAAGTGTTGGCATAAAAAGATAAAAATTGAATTAAACGATTTCATAAGGTTAATCTAATTATTGTATATAGGTAATGGGTATGACCTACCCATGTGCATTATTATCTACACTTAATACAAAATATAGATTGAGAATGTTTGAGGACTACTTTTACCTATTATACTTCCGTAATATTATGATCATATTTATTAATTATTAATCAGACTGATAATTTAATATAATTCGAAACCCATCACTTCGCCGGAGGACGCCAAATATTCTAGCATATTTGCAAACAATATAATATAATGTCAATTGGTTTTATTCCGTCGCAGTGCGTTTGGCTACGGTCTTTGAACGTATGCATATATTATTATGCATTCGCATTTACCGAAATGAATATAATTTTTAAAATTATTATCATTTTATTGTTTATCGAAATTAATACTATGCTAAATATTCAAAGTAAATTCATATTGACTATGTTTTTTATGCACATATTATACGTTCGCATAGTTAGACACAAATCGATGAGTATTGTGTGTTGTTTTAAGATTTACTAAAAATACTGTATTATCTAAACTATATAATATTATTCTGAGTAGCGATAGTTGTTTTTATTTACCACGAAGTTCAATTTAGTACAAATTATGATGTTCAATAAGCCGATAATATATTTTGAGAAAAATTTAAAGTATATGGAGTGCATACACTATTTTTACAAATGATTAATGTTGTCAGATGGACGTTTACATTATTCCAGCTATAATAAAATGGTATTTAATTCAAATTTGAACACTATAAATAAAATCTTGACCACAATCATAATATTGTTGTTATTATTTATGTTAATGTGTGTTTTTATTTTAAAACATTTTGCTTAATATACTCGTAGGTGTACAATAGTACCAAATGTCGATTTTTTTTTTTTTTTTAGGTTTACTTGATATTTTAAATAATATTAACAATTAACACCTACATTATAATATATAGTTTCTATTTACATATGGTACAATAGTTTTGAATATAGGTATAATGTATTTATGCTATTTTTACCATGTCTTCAAGGAAAATGGCATTATTTATCATACCTAATAATTAATAATTCATCTTCCACTAATTTGAATATTTTCATGTTTAGGTTTTTTGAAGGAAGGGCACAGTTCGCTTGAAGCCTAACACAATGAACCAAACGAACTACGAACACTGCGTATGGACATAAGATATAACGTCATGTATGTGTTAATTCTACGCAGATAATACTCTTTACTTATTACTCGTTATGTATACTGATGAAACAAATGTTATGTGGTACATAATTACAATATTGTAATTCTATGTTGATGTTCTGATTTTTATATTAAAAAGTGTTATTATACAATAAACCGTAAAATATATGGAATATCTACGTTCAACAAAGCAAATAAAATAAACAATAATAATAATTTAAATTAATAATTATTATGCTAAATATTTTAAAAAAATAACCCTGTCATACGTTTATTTATATATTTTATTGTTGAAATAGTAATAATAATAGTTAAGATAAGTTTATGTCAGTTGGAGTGACCTAAATTATTTTAAATTTAAGCTATGTTATTGTTGTTATCAAATTACCTACTTAATACTTATAGGGTATATAATTATGTCTTAAGCATCAATATTATCAACAATTTTAATAGGTGTTAAACAACTAAGAACTATAATACACTTTTCTCAATCCGGGTAGTAAAAACTATTTTTGATATTTTATTTATAACGTATTTATGTCCGTGTATGAATATTTTTGTACGTAATATACTTTTTGTACTTGCATATTGTGGTTGTTTATTTATAATTATTTTTTAATGATAAAATTAGTTGTAGTTATATTTTGGTATCAACATTACGTTTATTTGATTATTGATATATGCATGTACTTGTTGAAATCGAAGTATAATTTTATTTAAATGATGATTCAGTTATACAATAATCATTGTATAATAATATGTTATTTATCTTTAGTGTGCCAGTAGGATTACTCTTTTATTTCAATAAATGTATTGTTCATTATACTCCTTTATTTACTAGGACGAGATGTTAAAAATAAAGTTTTTGTAGAGTACATAAATAAACCTATTAAATTGTTTTAGTTTTATCTTACAATCTTATGTGCTGATGAAAAATAAAAATAATAAAACATTTCATTGAGAACGAGACATTGTTACAGCTAAAATAATGGCGACCGATTTGAAAATTGCTTTAGCTTTTAACGTAATTCTAATGTTTTATGTATAAACATGAAAAATTTATCAATAAATCGATTTAATAGCAACGATTTATGAAAAGATACAGTACGACGTAATCTAAAATTTTAGATTCAAATGTTATTTCCAGTCGTTTGCGTTCTTACAATAGTCATGAAACACTAATGTTTTCTAGTATCGTGTGATGGAACTCTGAACATATCACTCGTAGTCACCTTAAGTTCTAGTTTTTTTTGAAAGAATAAAGGTAAACGTTATTATATTAATATATTATTATTGTTATAAAACATGGATGAGTAATTGACGTCATGACTCGCGTAGCCTTTTTGTTTGGCTCGTGCTATATTTTCAAATTACTTTATAAAATTTTAATTTTTACTTGTATTTTATTTTATTGCGTTTTTTTCAACATTAAAATAAATTTTATTGAATTAATTTTTTTTTTTGTATTTTGTATTCTCTGGCTCATTAGATTTTAGTTCTAAGAATTTGCCATTCTTGTTATATGAAATAGGTAAATTGAAAGTTCTTTTATTATATTATTAATATGAACATTTTTAAAGAAACTATTCTTTTGAGATCCAGTAAAATTAAAGTTATGTAGATATTATCTAGCATAAAAAAAAAATTTTATTCGTGCAGACACACACACACACACATACACACACAAACACAATATTTTATGTCAAGTTTGCTTTTGCTTAAAAAAATATAACACATAGTAGGAAATTTTTTTTTATATTTATCTGTAAATACCTTTTTTCCCTCATCTGTAGATTGTAAATACCTATATATAAAAAAGAAACGTTTATTCAGCTACAATTTGTATTTATAACAGCCATGAACTATTGGCTTCATTTTGTGTTTGTTCATTTGTTGCTTTTGTTGTCGGGTGCTGCCAAAATTCAAATCAATATAATTTAAACTATTTTTGATACACGAATAAAAATGAAAAAAACGTTTTATCGTTTACATAGTAATGACAGGAGTTTGGTCCTAAAATGAATAGTTAGTAAATTGCTTATACTCAATATGTATTTAATGTTATAATTTTTATTTGTTTTAGATTTTTAGAACTGTAAATGAAAATATAAAATATGTACAAGAAAGTTTATGAAATCTTATTAGTTATTAGTTTTATAGTTTTCTATACATAATATAGTATTTATTATAATTTTAATATAATATGAACAACAAATAATTTTTTTTGGATATGACATATCATAATATTATTGTCAGTATATTAATTTTAAAATAATTAGGGGAAATGTATATTCAATGTGATTGGTAATAAGTATACTAAATATTACTTTAATATTTTTTATGGGTATAGTTTGTTTATTTACTGTACATAGGTAGGTACTCTATTCTAAATTTATTAATCAAGTTTAATAATGTGTTCATATATACTCGTAGTCCACGGAATTAGAGCGATAAGAGATCTTGTATATACTTTTAGATTTACAATACATTATCTATATTTATTTAAATAAATAAATAAAATTATATTGTAGGAAAACTTAGCTTAAATTACAGCTTATTATTTTTATAAATCATTTAAATATTTTCATTGCATTTTTGATGGAATACAAAATCTGAACAAAAAATAATTAACTTAATGGTTATAAAATTGTTATTGTTGTTTTCATATTCCAAAAAGCAAATAATTCTACATTTAATTGTTCATTATAATTTATCATACTGTTTATAAGTAGATTCAGTGGAGGTGACGTCGATAGTTTGAGCTACAAATAATTAACCCGATGTGGTGACGTAGACGTTGAAAAAAATCGTAAAAATAATAATCATGCTTAAAAAAAAACTAAAAAGACAGCCACGGGAGTCGATGACAATAGCGAGGTTTTAGACTTTGTACGATAGAGCGGAACCGTGATTGTTGAATCGTCTTCGTGCACACGGTTCGTGGCTCTTGATCGTTCGGTTTATTAGAGCATTAATTTTACCATCAAAATCATTTAGTTGGGCCATTTCACTTCTGTAGCAGTAGACGGGTGACACCGAAGACGCGTTTCTGAGGTTTTTCTTTTAAGAAGTCAGATGAAAAAACCAACCGCTTTAGTTCAAGTACCATGACGAACTTGCATCAGTCGTCTCGAAAAATTGAAAACTATTATTTTTTGTTTTTACAGTAGACTCTAATCTATGTGAAGTAGGTTATAGAGTACCAGTAATTATAGTACTTCAAAGTTTAACACGATAAAATAACACATAATTTTTCTTACCTATTTCTGGTATTTAACTAAAAATAATTATAACACATTTAATTTCATAAACTATGGGTATCTTTAATATTTGAATTTAGAAGTGTAGTTATATAACTATAATTTAAAAACACCACATTAAGATGTATAAACATATATCTAAATAACTTACGTTTCAATTGCTATGAACCTAGGGCATGAACAAGTCTTAAATCATTATTATTATTGAATAAATTGTCCAAATAACATATTATTAGGTATTAGGTATAAAGACGATAATATAAGTTGTTTATTTAATAACAAAGGATTTGACTGTATAGAATATTATTCATGCAGATTTGATACACGCTTAGTTAATTTATTAGGTAAGATTTTCAATTACAAATGATAATAATAATTAATTTGAAGACTTACTGTAGTGTTTAATACTATGAAGATTATTATATGAATTATTTAAATTATGTTAAATTATATTATTTGTAAAATTATGATATTAGTATTCATAAATTATATTTTCAAATTTATCAAATTAAGTAACGTTTAGGTATGATAATATGTATATGTTTATGAAATTACTTCGGTAATTCGAACAAATAATTTGAATAATAACTTTTAATAAATACTATACAGTATATGCCATCATACTTGATTTTAAAGGCATTATATTAGAAACTGCATATTAAAATTGCATAATAATATTAAATTATTTGATAAAATAATTTTTTTAAATACACTCAGGTAGATTAAATGAAGATTCTTACAACAATTTATAGTTTATTCATAGTTATAAAGTATACAGTTTTATAATATGTAGAGTACCTAGTATAAATACAGCAAATATTATAAAACCATTATATTGGTTGTCAACTGAAATAATTATTAACATTTTTGTTTATTTGTAAAGGACTATATTATGTAGTTAGTAAATCAAAATTAATACATAGACGTATTTATTATATTTATTTAAATTAATGTTTTATAAGTAGGCTATATTTAGTTGACAAAAAGATTTTTGTGTTACATTGAAGTGAAACTGTGAAACATCTACACAGTTAATAATAAGACCAGGATATTTAATATTTGATTATCAAAGATCAAGTTTGGAGTTAATCATATTGTTTGAAAATAACCCACACCGATAAGCCAAATTTTAATAATACATTTTTAAAGTTTTGAAAGTTTTCTTGCGCACATTGGATTATTCGATTATAATTGTTATTTTTCGTTGTCATCTAATAATATATTTTGGTGTTATTTAATAAGTATCGCCGATTGAATTATAATTATAAAAACATTAGTACAAAATACTGTTAATCATTAATGATAATTTTATATTTAATTTAAAGTAGTTTTACACATTTGGCTTTTTCGTTAGTGTTTCGTGTAGTTATATGATTAATAAGATAATATATTTATTTATTTATGCACATAATATTATTATTTTTGATCTAATTATACATCGTCGATTAATTAAGCTTGTTGTTAGGTAATGAAATGTTTAGCTGAGATTATTGTTGTAAGTTATTTAGCCAAGTGATGTTTAAGTTATTTTGTTGTAGCTAGTAAATGTAAAAGTTCCAGGAATTGAGAGATGTCTCGTCAAATACCAATTATATTTTTAAAAGCAGAAAACTTTCAAGTATAGTAAGTTTGAGAGTATAGGTATTATGTTTTTCAATGATATATAATAAGTACCTTAAATTAAACAATAATTTGCTTTTCTATCTATTGCGTCATTAAACTTCGCTGATTATAACTACATTTCACTAAATAAAACTTAGTATGATATTTAAAACTTTTTTTATAAAAGTAATTTTTTAAAATTAATTATCAGACCGCAGTTTGGTAAAACCAAAAAAAAAAAAAAAAGGAAATTGTTGCCATTTTCGCATTTATTTTATTATGTGTAACGAGGTTTAACTATATTCAGCTAAATGGGCTATAGTCTTTGATAAAACTCGGCCAAACAGTAATTACTAACCAACCATATCTTGTTAATAAGCATTAGGTTTAATT